AATATTAATAATTTTCTCTTTGAAAAAAAAAAAAGAAAAGAAAAGAAAAGAAAAAAGTCTAATTAATCTTAGCTTGTTTTCCTTGCTGGTATTATTTTCTCCTTAAAAAACTCATATTTGCGAGTTATATATGAACAAAACATTGACCAAAGTTCTCAAATCGTCACACATTTCAGACGGCATAATTGAATTATTAATTTACAATAATTAATGTCTGTCCGAAATCGACGACTAAGTTTCATGCCATCCAAAGTTGCCTATTCATTCTGGCTGTCAACAAACATAAGACCACACATGCACATGTGAACTAAATCTATCTAAAATTTTAATTTACAAAAAAGTAGAAGCTACAAATTATCTTGTATTACCTAAATTAATATCTAAAAGTGTGAAAGTATATTATCCTTACACACTTATCATTATCAGTGATAGAACAAAAGTATGAAAGCAACTAATGATTCTTTTTAAATTCTGGATTTATGGTATGGTCTGTGTCCAATTATGAATCCATATGACTCCAACGCTAAGCATTATTGATCCAGCTAAGCAACTCCTCTTCTAAACCTGAAACTTTTATTTATTTATTTTTGATTAAAACCTTAATTTAGTTCTTTTACTTTGATAAAAAAAATCTTTTTTTAGTTTTTTATTTTAAAAAATCATTTTTCTCATAAAATTTGAAATCTAATTTTTTTTTTAGTCTTTTTATTAAATTTTTATCTTATGACATATTATCTTAATTGAAAATCTCAAAATAAAGGGAATTAAAAGGATTTTTTTTTAAATAGAGGGATTAAAAAATTTTTTTTATCAAAATTAAGAAACTACAAAGAGGTTTTTTTTATCAAAATAAAAAATTAAAAATGACTATTTTATAACATTTTTTGTTCCTTTATTATAAAATTTCATCATTTAACATGTCATGTAGGTAAAATAATATTTTTGACCAAAAATAAAAGATCAAAATAAGAATTTAACATTTATTTTTTATAATAAGTATTTGAATCTTTATATGTTTTGACTATTCCCATTCTTATCTACAAACAATCCCGATTTGGGCTACGAGACTATAAAGTTAGCTTTCTGTTCCTCGATCAAAATCATTGAATCAGCCAACAAATGTGGACTTCGTTACAATAATTTGAATGATGCGCCGAACATAGAAACGGGGAGAAAAAAGTAATTAAATGATAAAGGGTAAATATATCAAAAACTTTAAAATAGTATGACATTAAAAATATGAAAATATTATGATTAAATTTTATATGATTTTATAAATTTAAAATATAATATATTATTATATAATTAATTTTTTATTTAAAAATTTATTTATAATATTATATATATATTTTTTAATATCATATTATATTTAAATATAATTATAAATTTATAATTTTACTTAATATTATAACCATAACATTATTTATTATAATAAAAGAAGTGCCAATAGCACCACCCCTTTTGATTCCCGTAATTCTTTTTTCTTTTCTTTTTTTTCATTTTTTGTTGTTGTCCAAATGTACTGCGCCGCAAAACTAATTACACTCCTTCAACCAATACAATTGCATTTTTTTAAAAAAGAAAAACAAAATAAGTACACGGCCAAAGCCCAAAGGGAAGGAAGGACACGAAATTTTATCATGAGTGATGCAATGGTTTTCCTTAAGAAATGGTAAAACAACTGATTTTTTGAACATTAAACTCTCTTTTAGCATAAATTTGTCCGATTAATGAATGACAAACAAGTTTGGTCTTATGCCAACCATGTCATGACATTTCTCAAGAATCCAAAAAAACAGGGTCAAAATGCAAACTCTCAATTAACTTTGAATACATTCAAATATTTTAAAATTATATATGTATATATAAAAATTTTTGAATTATAATATATTTACATATAATTTTTATTTATATTTTTTATACAAAATTTTAATTGTTCATAATAAAAAAATAAATTATCAAAAATTTATATAAATTATATATAAATAAATCTTAACTTTAAACTTTTTAATACATCTGTTAAATTCGACTAGACTGAATTAAATTCAGTATCGAGTATATGTAAGTTAATCTGATAAATATTGTGCTTACAAATGGGAGAAGTTGTGGCCCCCTTTCTTCTCTCGCTCTGATTTTCTTCTCTTTCTCTTGCTTTTTTCTTTCCCTGGCCCCCCCATTGCTTCTGTCCCACTCTACAATTAAGTTGGATGGTTAAATGTGCACTTCTTTCATCTCTTGGGAAAGTTTTTTTTTTTTTTTTTTTTTTTTGTGGAGGTTTTTTTCTCTTTTTTTAGAGTAATTGTATTGACTTTTTTAATACTTCTTATCGAATTTACTCTTGTTAGAGGTGAAAGACAACTTGAATGTAATATGAGATGAACTTAGATCAATTGTCGTGTTTGTTTTGATTGTTGAAATTATAGTTAGAGATAAGGTTTTTAACTAAATTTTTTTTACCCTAATCAAGGATTATACTGAAATGCGACTTAGTTGCTAATTTTGAGTTTAAGTTTAACTATTCATATAAACATTAGATTATTTGATTTTATATTTTCGTGTATTTTATGAGAATAATACATATGACATATTACTTCATTTCAAATTGATTTTATAACTCGTATAATTTTCATATATTAATAAAATTATAATTTCTGTAAAAAAAAAAAAAAGAAGCTACAATCTAAGAACTAAATTTCAAACAGTGAGATGAGAACAAATGTGAAAGAGAGCCCCACTCCTATCATGTACCTCATATTATCATACACGTACTAGAAAATAATTTTTATCCATGAAAAAAACATGAGTTTTATAATCTGTGTCTCATAAGTTGAATAATCAAATAATATTTTCCACCTTTCTTTTCAAAACACGTGCGTTTGTGTGTGTATGATTTTCCCATTTCTTTAATTCTACTCCATCACCTAGTTATACTATGCTGTTATACTATGCTGTCATATTTTATTTTCATACGAAGCCTTCAACAAATTGCTTAGTCCAAAGCACTAAAAACATGATCAAGAATGTCACTGTCGAAGGTGTTTTGGCAATGGCTGCTTCAACGTGAACGTCCTTTTTTTTTTTCTTTAAAAAAAGGATGGTTTAATTATATTTTTAACTAAGAAAAAGAGACTAATAAATGATATAATATTTGAAAAGAAGGATTTTGCATGATCTCTTGTCTGAGACATCTACTTTTTACTTTTTCATTTCAGGACCAATGATGAAATACATTTGAACTGTTAAACCCTTTTCTATTTATTTAATAAACTTAATTTTTATACTCTCTGGGTGGAATCGGTGGCTCTACTGCTTCCAGGAAATTGCTATACCTTTTGAATAAGCCCAGAAGGCTCATTTTCCTGGACTTTTCCTTTTTGATTTCTGTATAAATACCCACCTCATCCCCAACAAAATTTGAAGCTACTGAGAAAGAGAAAAGTAACATAGAAAAGAGAACTGGTCTGAAACTTCCTTGTATTGTAGCAAAAACTAGGATGGGGAGAGCTCCTTGCTGTGAGAAAATGGGATTGAAGAAGGGTCAATGGACCCAGGAAGAAGATCAGATTTTAATCTCTTACATTCAGAAACATGGCCATGGAAACTGGCGTGCCCTGCCTAAGCAAGCTGGTAATAGTCTATACCATTAACAAGATTTAGCCCTTTGCTGCTTTGATTCCCCCTTGTTTTTTAAGCTTTTTTTTTGTCACCTGTTTTTTACAGGTCTGTTGAGATGTGGAAAGAGTTGCAGACTAAGATGGATTAATTACTTACGGCCGGATATTAAGAGGGGAAATTTCACTAGGGAAGAAGAGGAAACTATCATCAAACTTCATGAAATGTTGGGAAATAGGTAAGAATACATCATGATTCATTCAAGCAAGATGTCTCAAACACTTGGAGAACATATAAAGTTCAATTGGGATTTTTTCTCATTTTCTCTGTTCATGTTTTCCAGGTGGTCAGCAATTGCAGCAAAATTACCAGGAAGAACTGACAATGAAATCAAGAATGTATGGCACACCCACTTGAAGAAGAAACTCAAAAACTACCAGGCTAATCGGCCGGAAACCAAACAGAACCCTGATGAAATAATCACAGAGAAAGAAGCAGAATCTGCAAAAGTTGTCACAAATTCCATGCCAAATCTTTCCCCCGAATCGCCTCAGCAATCCTCTAGTGACTTCTCCTCCGTAACATATGCTTCTACTTCTGCAGCAACAAGTGAAGAAACCAACAACATAAATATCACTGAATCATTGGACTACTTTCCTGAGATTGATGAGAAGTTCTGGACAGAAGGATTATCCTCAGAGGAGAATTCCAGCCTGCAACAGCAGCCACTGAATCTTGAAGGGGTCGTATATGATCATCAGTTTCTATACAAACAAGTTCCATCATCATCTTCATTCATGGAGTCTGCTGCAGGATATGGATATAATTATGAGCAAAATCTAGATGATGGAATGGGGTTCTGGTATGACCTTCTCATCAGGGCTGAGCATGAACAACAATTAACTGAATTCTAATAAAATTTTTGGGGAATCTTGGGAGTGTTGTTTTATTGTGTCCTCAGTGGCATCAAAAGTAGGTAACAGTGTCTATCCAAACGTTAGAATCAGTCATTGACCAATAGGGGGATAAAGTCTAGGAAATTATCTGATTAGGGCCAAACAGAAGAACAATGGAGAAAGGAGAGATTGACATAGAAATAGTTTTGTATAGTTATAAAGGAAAATTAGGGTGAAGCAGACTGAATAGCAAGTTTCTGAATTGGCCTGATCAGACATATGATTATGAAGATAATGTCGAATTTAGGGTTCATTTACTTTTGTATTAGAATTTTGTTCTAGAAAATTTCATATGGGTCTGATGTTAATCATTCATTGATTGTATAAATTAATTATGTAATGTATTCTTATATTATTGTTGGTTTGCATTGTTCTTGCAAATGACATCAACACGAGCCTTTCTTTTCCTTTACTTATTGGTGGGTGGTATGAACTAACTTATGTTCATCCTATGGTATTGTGTGTTTTGCAATAGGAATAACACTGTCCTTTTTCAAATTCTTCCTTGTGTTTCAAGATTTAAAACCAAGTTTTTTAACTTGAAATTTTTAATTTTTAATTAATGGATATTGTTCAAAAAGTAACTAAACACTATGTAAAAGGCATAAGATTTAAACTCGATTACACAAGATAATTACATTTTTTAATAAAAAAATGTATTAAAATTACCAAAACATTATTAATAAATAAATATTGAGAAATAATTTTATTAAAGGTATTAAGATAATTTTAATACTTGAATAATACCAAAAAAATATAATTTATATAAAATTGATTTTTTTATCCCTAATTATTAACCTCTTCACTCTCTAATCGGGAAGTTTTTCTCACTAGTTATGATAAATTATTGTTACGTTAGGCGTTAGAGTGTCGACATTCAGAGTACCAATCTTGAGCCTTCGTAGATGACCTTAAGACACAACCCACCTCTAAAGTCCAGTCAATCCATCAAAATCAGCATTAATTGCCAAATTATGCTCGAACCGTGAAACAACAATCTAACAACAACTCAGCCATTAGTTCATTGGTCTGAATTTGTTTCTTAGTGTAGATAGAAGACAGGTACAAGTTTAAGACTACACTTCTTAAAAAGTTAATCGTGGATGGATGGAGAAATTTGTCGCGACTCAACCCATATTCCCAATTAAAATGGCCCTATCAAAGAAAAAGAAAATACTTAGCATATTCTTCTGATGGCTGTACCTAAAACAGTACTAGAAACTTTTGTCAAAATATATCTTGCATAAAACGCAAGCTCTGATGAGTTTAACGAGAGAGACAACGTCCACTGAGGGTTGTTTAAAAAGTCATCCTCCATAAATAGAGCGTACACGAATGGTAACCAAAGTTTCGTACAATTCTAGATTGATGTGAGGTTGAAAATTAAAATCAACCTTAAATTACAAGCACACGGAAGAAAAGAAAAACTACCTGATGCCTGATAAGGGTTAAGGATATTATTGTTATTAAATTTGTTAAGTTTATTAAATTTTTTTTTTTGAACATATTTGCAAAGGGCGGGTTTCGAACTCAGTCCGGGAAGGAGGGAAAGCACTGGGGTGGCTATTGCCACTAGACCTTAAGGGTCAGGTGCGTTAAGTTTATTAATTTTAATCATACTTTTATTAGTTTATAATTTTTTTAAACAGTTAATTATAATATTTAAAAATACTTATTTATAAACTAATTTTAATTTGTTAAATAACAAATATTAATTGTTTGATCAATTATCAATTGTTTTTAATAGTTAAGTTAAAATAAATTGTCTTATGGTTTGTTTGGCAATGTTAATTTAAAAAGGAATGTATTTGAATTTAGGATTACAAATTCAAATTCATTGTTTGTTTTTACACAACAAGAATGCATATGAATTTTAATTTAAATACATGTATTTTAACTTGTGTATTTTAAAGATTAAAAACCATATATTTTAAATACTCTCTTATACCCATGAGTTTGATATTGGATTTTAAATTCTTTGTTCATTCTCTACATCTTCCTTTGCGATAAAATAGCTTCTCTTCAATGAAGCCTTGATGATTGCATTCAAAATTGTATATTCAATCTTCAAACTCTTTAATTTCTCCCCTTGTTTTTTTTGCTTTCACTACTAAAATCCATTTTTTTTAGGAACATAGAAGCACATTGCTAAAAGTGCTTCTCATGTTGTTGAAAATCCTTTAACAGTATAGTTTTTTTTACTAACAGTTTTGTTGGAAAAGCTTTAATGGGTAATACATTACCAACAAGCATTTTGTTGCTGATTCATGGTGCATTTTCAACAACATAAGGTGCATTGCTAAAAATTTAGTTTCAACAACATATCTTATGTTAGTAAAAATATTGACCAAAATCCGAAAAAAGATTTTAGTGACTTTTTTCATCATTTTTAGCAACATAAACCATGCTGCTAAAAATATGATTTCACCAACATGACTTATATTGCTAAAAATTAATAGTAAACCAGTGAAAATAAGAGTTGGAACTTGGCACCCCATTTTCAGCAACATAAACCACGTTGCTGAAACCATATTTTTCAACAACGTGGTTTGTGTTGCTAAAAATCAAGGGAAGTTATTCTCTCACTTTTTAACAACATATGTTTTGTTGTGGATTACTTTTAAATAGTACAGCCCATTTTACCAACATAGCCCTTGTTGTTAATAATATCCACAATAACACAACAACCTATTATCAACAACATAACTCTTTTTGCTGATAATAAAGCTATTTTCAACAATATAATCCTTGTTACTAATGCTTATTCAAATAGTACCAATGTCATTTTTAACAACATACCATTTGTCAATGATGTATCTGAACACATTCTTTATTTTTAGTTATATGATAATAAATATATTACATTAATTTTTATACTATAATTATTAAATTTAACAATATTACAGTATTTAAATATGAAATTCACTTTTTTTTATAATCATCAAATATTAAATTTCTTAATATCTCACATATAATATAATTAATTGTACCTGCAAAAAATAATTATAACTAATTAATAAATATTTATTAACTAGATATCATTTATAAATTTTAGCTTAATAAATTTAAATTAAATAACTCAAGTCAATTAATGTATGATTATGTATCTTATCAAACTTGAATTTTATATTTTATTAAGAATTACTTACCAAACAAACAAAACAACAAAATTGTTAATTAGTGTATATATAATTATTTATAAATATGAATTTTTAAATAAATTGATACCTATTTAATAATGTAATATTTACAAAAATATTTCATACAATATGCTTCAAGGGAATTGAAGTAATTGATGGAATTTATTCAATTATTGGTATAAATGTATGAGAATTTAATGATAACAAAGAATAATTAAAATTAATTAACATATTAATTAGAGAATGGATAAAAATGGGTGATAAGATATGGAGGACATGTGATATAAGAAAAGAAAAGACAAAAAGAAAAGACAAAAAAAAAAAAGAAAAGAAGAAGTTGATAGATGTGGCAGAGAGGTGGAGAGTTATGGTGCAGAGGCAGGAATGGGATGGGAGGAAATTGAAGAAGACACATGCAGATGGCTTAGCATGGGTTAGGAGTGTGGTATATATATAGAACTTTCAGCAACATAAACCATGTTGCTGAAAGTTTAGTTTATGTTACTGAAAGTTTAGCACCCTATCACCAACATACTCTATGCTGTTAAAATTTATTTGAATTTCAAGCCCCATTACCCATCACCAACGTGTATCATGTTGCTAAAATTTAAAATCACAAATTCTCTCGCTGCACTTGTGAATAGTTAAAATTATTATAATTTAATTAATTCTTAATCTTACAAAAATTCATTTTTAT